ATGAAATATCTTATAAGATTTGTCAAAAGAAAAACTCACCTCTCTCAGCTCAGACTTCATTCCACAGCCGTCACACAGTTCGGGAATAGAAACTACTTCCCACTGGGGGAAACTGAAAGCTGAAGTACCACAGGAGGGTGCAGGCCAGGCTAGGATGAGGATGGTCACATCCTACCACAGAAAGGAGCTTGAGGAAGGTAGACGTTTTATGCATTTTGTATGATATCACTCCCCATATGTCATCCTCATTGTCTCCTTCCTGCAGAAGTCAGTGTACCAATGGTCTTCTGTCCGAGGCATAATTTTAATAGTCTGCGTCGCAGAATATTGCCCTGCTAGTGCTACACTAATCTTACCCCCCATCTCCCTTAAATTTACATGTCCCACAATATTAAATAGAAGTTACATTATTTTTAAATCACCTTCTGGAATAGAAATGGTCATAGTCCATTGTTTGACAGTTACACACAATGCTACCCGACCTCAAGGTTCTCCTCAGACTGCTTTGTGTCTCTCACATCAGAGAGAATATTCCCCGAGACTTCACATCTCAGAGAGACTCCTCTACCAGGATGGATGCTTGATGTGCTTCAGCCATGACACGACATCGGAGAAGCGTTGTGTGCCGCAGAGGATCCCTCTGTGGAATTCAGTGGGTCACACAGAAGCTGCGGGGACACAGTCCCCAGCTAATGATACTAGGGTACAAGGATAGATTACCACTTCATCTGGGCTGTACATTCCCAAGGTATAGGAGAGCCACGAGTCCAGGAGGAGAATATGAAACCACTGCTATACGAAGAGTCGCGGATTGGATTTAAATCTCTATCCCTAGAGACAAACATGCTGAATGGTAAGTCAATTCACAGTCATTTCATGAGACTTTTCCAACCTATACAATTAAGTAATGAAATAACAGAAATTATACATACTTTGTTCAAAGCTTATAATTGTAAAGCAAAATAATTTTGTTGTAGTAAAAAAAGGAATACAAAAAAAAGATACATTTCAGCGATATTAGGAATTCCTCATATGTAACTTTTGTACAAAATTTTTCATCTTCTCCATGACTCTCATCCATTATTAATTAGTATCCAGCTTCTTTTGTCACAAACAGAAGGGGCAGGAACAATTTCAGCAATTACATTAACTGGATCTGAATGAACAAAGTCATTTTTCTGTAATTGACTGCTCTTTAATTATGTGATTAAAGTATTAATTAAGATGAATCAGTTTGAAATAACATGCATTGTGCACACAATAGCTCAAATTCAGTGTTAGGATCAAGTTCTTCGTATCTTTGAGATAATATCACTCACATCAGACGACAACATGGTCAGTCAAATGATAGATTTATTCATTGATTTATTCATTGATTCATTGATTGATTTTGATCATTCAAGTCTACTGAGAAGAAAGACCCTTAGATACTTGCAGACCAAAGTGGAATTCAGAGGTCAGTATCAATCTCAAGTTAATTACTAAGCACATGGATTTTGTCAGCACATTTAATATAGTGCCGGTCAACCCTATTAGATGACACAGGAGGCCACCTAGATCTCCATCTTCTGAGAGGATGTCATCTTAGCAAGCAGCAGCCCCACCCCCATGTGACAGTAATCAGTCATACACAGTATTCTGTGTGTATTAAATAGACAGGTGTAACAATGGAGGTATGCAATACAATACCAGTAAAGTAATGTGAGTAAAGAGGACACAATGACTCAACAGGTACCAGGAGGACATCGCTGGGAAGGAAACTGATTTATAAGTGGTGTTCTGGCTGGGAGGACTCAGCATCATCAATCTTGCCAACGCACTTCCTTATTATAGAGCTGCACACAAGTGAAATTGCAGTTGAGGTCATTCTCTGAAGATGTGACAAAATTCTGCACCTTGGAGGGAACAGACGGTAGCCTCAGGGCTGAGTTAAGAATATGTCAATGAATTTAGTGATTGATTAATTAATTAATCATTTCAGCCAGAGCAGAAACAATGCAATTCGGCAAAGATTATGTGTGTAGGCTTTCAAAAGGTCCCGTTATAAGGACACATGCATAAATAATATTCCATGGCAAACATTTGGGTATGGATGGTGGGGACATGTACTTACCAATATTGTGGAAGTACAGTGTGTGTTTAGGGGGGCGAGGGGTTTATTTGGTCCAAATCAGTATTGAAACCAAACCTGCACTCTTCATAATGTGGTCCAAAAGGACTATATCATTAAGACATGTCATTGAAAAACTCGCTAATGTGAACACTCATTTGGCATGCCAAGTAAAGGGCGCCTGATTGCAGCAGCTGCCGAGATAAATGGCACCACTTGTCCAAATAAAGCAGGGTGGCTGCCCCAGCAGAGCCAGCTGATCTCACAGCTCATGGTGCCTCCAGAATGGCTGCAGAAGCTTCTCCCCCGACTGAGCTGCTCATGAAACCACTTACTGCATTTTCCCACATTAGCCTTGTGGTACAGTGTGTCCTAAGTGACTATCAGATAAGGAATCTGGTCATTAAGTCAGCCCCAGGAGAGTCATTTCTGCAGAATTTGAGGGAACCCGCCCAAGAACATGTTTAGAGTATGTGGTCACACAGAACACGGAAGCATATTGTCTTAATCTGATCCTTCTCCTTGAAGAAAGGACTTATTTCAGGTGTCAACTATTCACTCAGTCAATTTTCAGTCAGTGAAGCATTTATACTTGCAAAACACAGGCCGTGTAATTTTCTGCCTAAGTGATAATTTTAATGAATCACTTGACTTGTGAGACAAAGTGTAAACTGACAAAAACTGACACCCCTCCCCCCCAGGAATGAGCTCTATGTTATGACGGATGACGGCATGTGTTCTTGAAGTTATTAAACATATTATTCTTTATTCATTAAATATTAGCACTTTCAATGAGGTTACAAAGAAGAATGAGCTGTTACATGCTTTTAACAGCGTAATGGCCCATTTCACAAGTCAACTATTGTAATAGTTATAAATATGCTGAGAAAATAAAAAGCAGTCAAAAATAGTGTTAATGTTTAAAGAATTTCTGAACAAAGGTCATTCTAATTCAAATTATAACCTGAATTGGTTGTAAATGCTACATCTTTCCATAAGGAAGGTTAGATCAGTTACACTATTGTACTACACTAATCTAGATAATAGTAGTAACTACTTAATTGCAGTAAACATTTTTAATACAAAGTACCACTTTTTGATCTTATGCAAACAGGAATTATACAAACAGATAATATAGGAGGAAGGAGGTTCATTCTTAACCCTGCAAGAACAGTTTATGCTGAAATGTGTTAACTCCAAGAAACAGTTTTTACGTTGCAAAAAAACAAGTAAAAAACTGAGAATCGCACATATGATTACAGCTGTGGCAAATACTGAGGCGCTTCAGCAATGCAGGATGACGATCCCGTTTGTATTTGTTTCCGACCTCCCTCACTGGTCATAATAACAATTTAAAACACACAATTAATATAAAGTATGATGGTGCATTTTATAAAATCTACAATGAAGAACCAGAACACATTTCCTGTTTATAATTGGTGAGTAGCTACTGGGAATAGGGAATATGACAGTATCCTCAGGCAGGGGTCAAAATCTGACACAAAATACATCATATCTAATGAAAGCCTGAAAAATGAAACATTTAGAGTCAACAATTGGCTATTTACTGTATTTGGCCAATAAATATCAGCCTCTGAGTACCTCTCAGATTAAAACCCCAATGCAGGCTACACTCCCACCCATCAGGCCTGATTTATAGAGCCCACATGAAGAGTGAGAAATGCCTTCTCCTCTCCTCACAGCAATAACGTCCCTGACATGACGATTATGAAGAGTGTCAAAAAGGCCCAAAGATTTCAGCGGTCTATGTTGGGGTTCGCAATCTCAATTAAGGGAACAAACTGCATATTTCCTAAGTGCCCTGTGTTAGAAAACCCTGATTAAGGGAGGGGGCTGTGAATGAGGGCAGGTCAAGATGATTCCAAGGGCCCCTGAGTGGCAGCGGCCTTAAAAAGTTTGAACATAATTGTATTGGTCTGGGTTGGGGGCCCGATACGATATACATTCATGGGGCCCAAAATGTCTAGCGGCACCCCTGCATGCACCTGTTACTGCAGGCTTGAGGATCAAACACACAGTTGCTGTTTCTACTGGACAAAGAAACCCACATCAGTGTCACCCCCACCAGCAACATCAGATGGTAGTTTTATTAAATATGCTTAACGTTTTAATAATAGTATTATTAACAATAACAATTTAGCATAGAGTTCACATATAATTTAACAATGTAAATAGACTATTAACAGAACAGAACCAAAGTTTACAGTCGAGGTGTAATACAATCTACCTTTCTATAGGTTTGTGTAAAAAGCTAGTTGCTGATTTTAATTTTCCCACCACTAGAGGGAGGAAATTTCAAAGTTGGTGACGCCAACCACCTCATTTGGGTAGAGAAATATGGAAACGCTGCAGGAGGTCCTGAAGCCCACCACCCCACATTTTGTCACAGCTCCCTCCAAAGTCAGCTAAACAGCCCCTATCCCAGTGCCTCGTGGTCCAATGGGAGTCAGCGCCAGGTTGGGTGGGCTGAGCTGCTCCTGGGGATCCTCCCCAGGCAAAGTGGCTGCGACATTTTTTTCCGCTCATTTTCCGTACAAAGCCCAGAGGCTCATCTTAAATCTGTCACATCTGCACAACCGAAACCTCGCGGCACACGACAACAAGGACACTCGCTTTCTGCAGAGCTTACAAACGCAGCATCTGCAAGGTGTTCCTCTGAGCTGACATGTTTATTTTGGAATCCTGTTCCAAGACCTACTCCAGACACGGCCCGCTCTAATCCGCAGACGGCACTGGAGAAACACTGAGTACCCAAGGGGGTGTCCGATGTGGCTGGCAGCCAGTTCTTATGTGTGAAAACATGCCAGAGATCCACACCGTGTGTGGACACCAGTGTTCCTCTGAGTTTACAACATGCCAGAGATCTGTGCCATGTATGGACACCAGTGTTTATCTGAGTTTACAACAGAACAGAATATCCAGGTATCCAAATGAGTACTCAGTAATCAGTACTCTTTCAGACAACAGTACTGGGTGCCTCACCTAAGTATCCCTGATGTGACTAAAGGCACAATTGCTATTCCCCAGTACAAACTACACCCAATCACTCTGACATCATAAGCGACCCCCAGCATATCTATGACATCATAGTAGAAGTGCATATATGGTAAAATACAGTTGCCGTGGCAAGCTAAGACAAGGAGGAGGTGCCTGGTTGTTTTTATGCTAGTTGGTGAAAACAATTGTTTTGACTTTGGTTACTTGCTAGTCCCAGGAAATACCTTGTACGCTTTTGTTTGAAAGCATAACAATGCAAACCTTCTGCTCACTCTGCCTGCTTAGAAAGTAAGGAGATACAGTGTAGAAATGTGGACGTCTTCTGCTGGAACAGGATTTGGGACAGCCATCTTAGTCGTCGCTCTATGCCGTGCAGCAGTTGATGTTAGACAATTTTTTGTTGTGACTTCCTGTCAGGCTTGTGACTGAAACAAGATCCTTGTCTTTGTGTACTTGTCTTTTCACCTCCCTAAAGGGAAAAAAATAACAGAATGTGTCGAGCCAATATTCTGCTTAGCCCAGGATAGCCACTACTAACTTGCACCTAATATCTGCTCTTACTTTCTTCTTGGGTCAATCACCTAGGACAATGTAGACCCCTAGACTCTCCCAGTGTTACTGGGAACTGGGAGAGAGCAAAAAACATGGACCATATGGTTGCCAGGACCGGGTTGAGAAACACTGACCTAGGAAACAAATGCACATTTGCCACTCCTTACCGAGCGAGGTGCAGCACCGCTTCGATTACATTGGAACCATCTTTGGCACTTGTTTCACAGAACAGCGCGTTGTACGTCTGCGGAGAACACAGAACACGATGGGTGTCACCTGACCGCAGCTTGAGGTTTTATCAGGGCCGTAGCCACGATTTTTAAAATACAGAGGTCAAAAGTGTGAGCGCTTCCGAGGTGTGTCCCGTGTGATCATGGTTATTGGAGCTGCAGAAAATATACTGAGGACTTGACCTCAATTGTAGGTAGAGGCTTGAGTTTTATTAAAGATCAAGACACATTGTATCCTCCGCCTTTCATCTCTGAATCAACCAGAGGCATAAACTATAAATAACTCTTCCAATTAACAATATAAGATTTCAATCATTACATCCGTCTTCCATAACTCTAGCATAGGACTGTGAGGTGGGTCTGGAGTCTATCCCAGGAAGTATAAGGGGCAGGGCTGCAGAACATGAAGGATGGGATGCCAAGCCAACATGGGGCACCAGCTGATGTACATGCCTGAATGCATGGGTTTGGGATGTGGGGTGAAACAGGAGTACTTGGAGGACACACGCAGACCTCACCAGGGAGAAGATGCTATCTCCACACTCAAAGACGTGGAGACAGGAACCTAACCCCCAACCCAGGGGGTATGAGACCCTAAATCCTTCCCAACAATCCACCAAACCACCTCAATCATTTACAAATGACATTGGATGTGGGACAGGACTCAGTGTTCTACAGGTGGAACATGTTCCCAGCGGAGTGTTTCCCAGTGTCTCCTTTACAGGAGCTGCTTCCATGAAGCCTCACCATGGCCAGCTTCTCCCCATAGTTGGCTGGAACACATTTGATCCCATCCTCCAGAGTCTGCTTCCGCAGGTCTGCCTTGTTTCCCACAAGCATGATAGGAATGTCCTCGTGAGACACATCCTGCACCAAAAGATGGCGGAAGTTTGAATGAGGACAATTACCGTGCCAAAAAAAAACAATAAGAAAGCTATGAGGTTTCTCTGTGTTAGTGAAGTAAAGCTAGGCACTGTGACGATGACAGGTGACGTCACTCTGGAACCTGCCAATTACGAAGGCATGAGGTCTTTCATAAAGCACAAGGTCTTCACAGAGACCAGAGAGGACACACTACCTCAATCATGTCCACCCACTCTCGCACATCCAGGAAGCTTTTCTCACAAGTGACATCGTACAGCAGAAGCACACCATCTGCTCTTCTGAAGTAGGACTTGGCAATGCTCCGAAACCTGAAATATACCATAACAGAAAGATACTTACGACTGAAATTCCTGACTACGATTCGAAGAGAGTTTTATATATAAAAAAACAGGCATCACGTTGACTTCTGTTCTCATGTTTACCAAATCTGCTTAATGTGCTCCAAAAAGGACATCCTGGAATCAGTTCACTGTGTTTCACCAACAAATCCACACCAAACAAAAGGAATTCACAGCCCCACACAAATTACGCATGTGGGATTCCTGCAGGTTCAGACCTTTCTTGTCCAGCAGTGTCCCAGAGCTGCAGGACTGTCGGTTCTCCGTCCACCACCAAGGTCTTCATCTGGAAGTCCACACCTGACCAGCCCCAAGCACAGAGGTCAGGCATAAGGATGTGGTCATAAAACTCAGAGCACAAAGTACGCAAGTGCTGTGAAGTCAATCATACAGAAGAACTAGAACACGAGAAGGACTAAATCACATAAAACACAACTCCAGAAGCTGCCATTCGGTTAGATGACCACTTTACAACATGCACAGCAGCAAAATGGGCCCTTTATACAGGAAGTAATTAGCATGGCCCTCGTTAAAGCTAACAAGTGTGGCGTCGTGCTGACCAGCCTGTACCCAGGGTAGCGCTGGTGTTTCCTCTGAACTCATTCTTGCAGAGTCGGTGGAGGAAGCTGGACTTTCCCACGGCCGCGTCTCCCGCCAGGACGATCTTGTATGTAGTATCCGACACCATGTACTTCGAACTGTCCTCTTCCTTGTCATCCTGCAAGAAGAAGAAAGGTCACAGCCGGGAACTCACATACCCCAAGACACTCCAAATGATGCTAGAATGATGACACATTATCTTCTGGTTACCAAAACAGAAGGGACTGTTTGCAAAAAAATTAAATGTAGACCCCAGGCCCCTCTGCAACCATGACCAAGTGGTTAAAAGATGGATGGATGGATGGATGGATGGATGGACAGACAGACGGACGGATGGCTAACAGATGATGCTTTATCTCATGGCATGTTGAGCTCACCTCATTTCATCATGGTTTTAATTTAGTCTGCAAGAGATATATTGTGTTTGGAGCCCTGACATTAATTCATTTGAATAATTTGGAATAACTTTCTAATTTTTTTAATCTATGACATAGTTTTCAGGAGGCTGGTTAATGGTTAGACAGGGTATAAACAGGAGTTCCTCTTTGCACGTCACCATGCATGTTTAGCCTTCAATGATTCTTTCGGAGTGCAAACCATCCTGCCATCTTCTACTCAATTTTCCCGAATAAGGACATGAGGAAAACTTGCAACCTCCATTCACACAGAGCGGGGGAAGGAATTCCAGCCCCCTGCCCTGATGTTGTAAGGCAAAGTGGGTACCCACTCCTCTCATTTCGCATGTTCTCCTCCCTCCATCTGCTTCTGCCCCCCGTACCTGGGCGGAGATGGCGGACAGGCACTTCCGCGCTGAGGTTCCGGAGCTGCTCCTGCTGATGGGGTTTGATGGTTTCCAGTCCAGAACCGACGCCTCCCTGGGCCCAAACGCTGCCTCCTCCTGAATGTCCGGCACCTGGAAACATCCGTCAGTGTGATCACCTGTCAGAAACGGTTACAGCCTGACACCTACAGTACATCACCCGGGCAGCAAAGATATCAATTCATGCCAAAAACAGCTGGATACATGCAGGAGGCCGGCAGGGGTCGACTGAAAAGGTCCAGGTAACAGCACAACACAGAGCTGGTGCAGTAAACAGTGTAAATAACTCTGGATGTTTTTGGGAATGTTTCCTTTAGACCTGCCCTGATTTAGAAGCATACAGAAGGCAGAGAATATAATGTAAGATGCGAAATGCCCAGTGGACTTCAAAGGTCATGGGGGGGTGATATATGTGGAGATTTGTGTGCGTGTGTATTAAGGGTGGGGGGAAGCTGAAAGGTCAGAGTGGTGGGGGGGTCATGGTAATACCTCTGAGAGAAACTAAGCAGCCAAGAGAAGGTCAGGCTTCAGAGGGACTGATCTGAACGTGAGCTCAGGGCTGCGGGGGTCTGCCTGGCTCCCGCGTCTGTTTACGTAAAGCGCTTGCGTGTGTGCTTGCAGGTTTTGGCATGCATGCACACTGTGCTTATGGAGCGAGCGGTCGCATCCTCAGGTCCATGTTCAATCTGCTTAGTTGCATGGAGTGTTTGCGTGATTTTGCATGCATGCATGCAGTACACGTGTGCAATGGCTGCATTCCTCACATCCATGTCTGACGCATCCCCCGCCAGGCTCTCAGCCGTTCCCGCCGGCCTGTGTGCGCCTTTCCGCACGTCCGCCTCTGAGTCATAGCCATTGGAGTCACGCAAGGTGGACAGGCCGCTGTCGAAGCAGCTCTCGCAGCTGGGCCGGCGCATGGGGTCACACAGAGCCAGGGAATCGCAGTCCTCGTCCTGGTAGGAGGAGTGAGACGACCTGGGGGGGGGGCAACAGCCAGCACCCAATCACCCATTACACCTGATTCTCAACCTGTGGGTCACAACCCAAATGTTAGGTCGTAACAAGTTCTGAAAGTGTGTGTATGTGTGTGTGTGGATTATGTTTGTGTTACATTGTGGGGACCAAAAACCTGTTTTTTTGACATTGTGAAGACCATTTGATCTGTGAATGTAATCAAAAAACTAAAAATGTATTTACTTTGGTTACTTATGATTAAGGTTAGGGCTGGGTATGGGTTAAGGTCGTCATTGTTGGGATCAGAGTTTTCTCCATAGAAATGAAAAGAGAGTCCCCACAATGCTATAATTACAAATGTGTGTGTGCGTGTGTGTGTTTGTGCATGTGTGTTTGCGTTTGTGTATGGTGTGTGTGTGTGTGTGTGTGTGTGTGTGTGTG